TACACTGGCTCTTGGATCTAAGGAGGTGCTAATCTAGCCTCTGCCTGAGGCTACCCAGCAGAAGCCAGCTGTAAAGCAATGCAAGTTGCTGTGGGGCCTTGGGCCAGCTGCAGTTTGTTAAGTAATTTTCAGATTACAAAGGGCTGGGCCTTTCATATGCAAAAGCCTCCATACCCCGCTTTGGCGGTGCGGGGTCCCAGGGGATCAACAGTACGGGCGGAGAAAGCAGTATGGCTGCTCTCAGTCCTGCCCTCAGAGGCCCCGGCAATCGCTGCGAGTGCCTCCGAGAGAAAGCTGCCGTCGAGTTCCGACCGATGCCAGACAGTCCCGTTTCTCCTGTATGAGTCTGGGTCCCCAGAGACTCGCCCGGAACTGGAGCTCAGAGCTTGAGACTCACTCCCGATTGAAAAAGACAATCGTTTCCTCAGCCGCCAGCCCTCTCCGCATGCACCTCCACACCTTTGTATTTTACTTCCGCACCGCACCTCCTCTGAGTCTCGGTATGCTTTTCTCTTTCCTTCTAGTTGTAGAATTTCCACTCAGCCAGCCTTCCTGTGGTTCTGGATGATGTCCGTTCCGTCTTTTAGTTGTATTTTTGAAGTGGTTGTGCGAGGCAGCAATCTCCGGTGTTTACCTATGCCGCCATCTTGGTTTTCCTCCCTTCTTGAACTTTTAAGGTAGATTGATGCACTTCAGTTTGTTTAATTAGTTCTTTCTTTTTATTGTCTTTTCAATTTGGATTGAGTATTTTATATGATTCCATTTTATCTCCATTATTATTTTATTTGTTATACCTCTAACTAAATTTTGCTAATGATTGCTGTAGGGTTTTCCAGACCCATCTTTAGCTTATCACATTCTACCTTCAAATATAGCATTTTTTGTATATTGGACGAACTTTATAAATTTTACTAGAGGTCCGGTGCATGAAATTTTTGCAAGGGGCTCGGCCCTCGCAGCCCCAGCTGTCTCGGCTGGCTCTCGCAGCCCCGGCTTCGTCCTGAAGGTCATCTGGATGGTTGTCTGGATGGTCGTTCTGCTGTTTGCTCTAATTAGCATAGTAGCTCTTTATTATATAGGATAATTTTAATTCCTCTGACCCATCCTTTGTGCTACAATAGCATCCATTTTACTTGTACATTTTGTAAACCCCATAATAAATTATGTTAACAGTTATCTTTTAAAGGCATAAATAAGAAAAAGTGTTTTTTTAAATTTGCCTCCCTTTTTACAATTTCTGGAACTCTTCATTTTTTTATTTTATTTTTTTGTAGATACAAGTTTCCACTTGGTATCATACTTCTGCCTAAAGAACTTCCTTATAAAATTGCCAGCCAACTGGCAATTAATTATTACAGCTTTTGTGTGTCTGGAAGTCTTTGTTTTGCTTTAATTTTGGGGAAGTATTTTCACTGGGTATAAAATTGACAGTTTTAAAAATTTAGTATTTTAAAAATGTCATTATGTCTTCTTCTATCTTGCATAGTTTTTGAGACATTTGGTATAATCCTTATCTTTATTTTTCTGTATATAATCTTTTTTACTCTTGCTGCCTTCAATGTACTCTTTTCAGTTTGATTTTCAGCATTTTGATTAATGAACATAAGTGTGTGGATTTTTTATTCTGCTTGGTGTTCTCTGAAATTCTTTTCATCTGTGATTTGATGTCTTGTGTTATTTTTGGAAGATTCTTGACTGTTAACTTCAAATTTTTTTTGCCTCATTGCTTTCTTTTCTCTCCTTCTGGGACTCAGATTACTTGTATTGTTCCATAGTCTCGGATGATGATAATGATGATGATGTTGTGTGTGTTTGTCAGTTTATATGATTTCTATTGATTGATCCTCAAGATATCTGAGCCTCTCCATAGTTGTGTCCAGTCTACTGATGAGTCCATCTGGGGAATTCTTTATCTTTGATCATGTGTTCTATCTTTCATTCACATTTGACTCTTTTCTTATAGTTTCCACAACTCTGTTGAAATTCCCCATCTCTTTATGCAAGTTACCACTTTTTTCTACTTGGTATTCTATATAATAAAAGGCTAATATGCAAATTGTCCCCTCTACTGGGAGTTCGACCAGGGGATGGGGCTGGCTGGCCAACCGCCCTTGGCCCCTCTCCCTGGCTGGTTGGACCCTACCTGTGCACAGATTTGTGCACCAGGCCTCTAGTTTTAACATATTAGTTATAGTTATTTTAAAGTTCTTATCTGATAGTTCTAACACCTGAGTCATCTCTCAATTGGATTTTGTTTCTTGTCTCTTGACAATGGTTTTTTCCCCCCATGCTTTTCTATCTCTTGAAATTTTTTATTGAGTGCCAGATAGATGTGTAGGAGACTGAGATAAATAGTATTATAAATACTATTTATAAATAGACAAGCATCTTTCGTCCCAGGTCATTTTTGTGGGGAGTTGAATCAATCAATACTTGCACTGGATATGGGTTTTGTTGTTTATATCTTTGTTCTCAGTATACTGCAGACTTTACATTTCTCCAGCAGTAGGCTCCTATTACTTTGGGCTAGGAATGGAGGGCTTAGGTGTTTGTAGGCTTTTCTCAGTTTTCCTGCTTTCTTTTTAGATTTTAGTTGTCTCTGTCCATCTTGCTACAGGTAGGGATGAGAGACATGCTTCTACCTCTTCTCTATCAGATTGTTTCTGCTTATTACTCACTGGTAGGGTTGGGGGTTTTACCTGATGTTTTAATTCAGCTTCAGTCTTACTCAGGCCCTTGGACTTGGGAGTGTGGCTTTTTTAGTGTTTCTTTCCTTCAGCCAGACTAGCCTTACATCTGTAATTGCTTTTGGGATAATTTTCTGCCCCTCCCTCAGCTAAGGTATTTCTGCACTGTCCCGGAGGTAAAAGGATTTTGCTTCTACTCCTCTCCCATCAGCAGTAGATCTTTGCCTATATCCTGGGAAGGGGTTTCCTATCCCTCCCTACAGGCAGAAGTTTTTTTCCCCCCCATTCTTCCTTAGAAGCAGTCTTTGCCAGAGTCTTATGAGTGAGAGAGTTTGCTGCCCCTACCTTAAGTTTTTTGCTTTGTAATACCTATAGAAGGTGGCGGGGCTTTGTCTCCTACTTTGTGCTTGTCAGTTGCCTCTTTGCTGCCTATGCAATAAATGAGACTTTCTTTGGTCTCTTTTCCTAACCACCCCCCTACTCTCCAGTCTTTCTTGTGAGCATATGGTGACGGTGCATGGAGAAGAGCTTGAAAGTGAGTGGGAGCTTCTCTTGTGTCTGGGAACCTTGTTGCCAGGGGTGGGGAACCTCCGGCCCACGGGCCTTATATAAGGCCTGTGAAGTCATTTGATCTGGACCTGCCAAGGCAACCACAGGCAGGATTCAAAATTCAGTAAGTCTAGGAGCTTTTTTTCATAGCAACATAAATTTATATTAAGCGAATGATGCTATAAATATTCAAATGGCCCTTGGCAGAAAAAAGGTTCCCCAGCCCTGCTTTAAACTGACAGATTAGCCCATGCTCTGCCTTTCAAATTTTAGCTAATTTCTTAGATGGTGGTCACTTCTTTCTCCCAGGCTCTGCCAAAAGGTGAGACAGTTTGTCCCCTTTCTCACTGAATGGGCTTATCCCTCTCAGGAATTTCATTTTTTGGGCTGCCTTGCAACCTCAGCTTTCTAAGGCTGTTCAGATAGGTGTGATTTGGGGAGGGAGTGGACTAACCCATTGTTTTCTCATTGTTTGGGAGAGATCATCATTCTTGGTAGGTATCTACTTCCCAAGCAGAAGGGGACTCCCATTCATAAGTTTTGAATTGATGTTTTGGTAATAAGATAGGTTTGGAGAATTTCATTAAGAAGAAATGGCCTTTGGATATTTTCTTTAAAAATTGTGACATAGTCCTACTTATTAGTGAAAGATTTCTTCTTTCACAGATTTTTTTCCAAGTGCATTTTCCTGCCATCTTAGGTGGTTATTTTTTTGTTTGTTTGTTTTTGTATTGATTTTAGAGAGGAAGGGAGAGGGAGGGAGAGATAGAAACACCAATGATGAGATAGAATCATTGATTGGCTGCCTCCTGCACCAACCGCACTGGGGGGTTGAGCCCGCAACCCGGGCTTGTGTCCTTGACCAGAATCTAACCTGAGACCTTTCAGTCCGCAGGCTGACGCTCTATTCACTGAGCCAAACCAGCTAGGGCTAAGGTGGTTATTTTTTTCCTGCGACATTGAGAAACCTAGATGTTCTTGCTAGCCCTTTGTAGTTAGTGTCTTCTTTCTGTTTTTCTTTCTTATAGATTGCAGTGAGAACCTGATTGGTGCCTATATGCTCTTATAATGGAGCAGTGGAATTATTTGTTTTGAATTTTTAACTCATTAAAAAGTGATAATACATGTGCTTTATAGATCATTTGAACTGCAGAAAAGAGGAAAATAATCATCACGTATAATTCTATGTAAAAAAGCTATTAACATTTTGCATTTTGACTTGTTTCCAAGAATGAATGAATTAATCACAATTAAAGTCATAATATGTATGTAATTTTATATTTAGCATTTAATACTTAATATTAATCATAGGCATCTCCCTGCATCATTAAAAGTTCTTAATAAACATTTAAAATGGGACATATAGTCCATTATTTGGAATTTTGTAACATTCACCAGAAACTTTCAATAACTGCTTTCCTTTGTAGCATTCATAATTTGAAAATCAAAAAGGTTTAAATTTGAAGCTCATTTAAAAAGCTTACTCTATTTGTAATTGTATCCCAGTGCACAGAGATATTTAGATTTCTGACTTTGTTTTTTAAAGGTGGATTTTACTTTTTGGATTCCAGTGACTGTATGGTTTTTCTTCTTTAATTTTAGAATTCCATACGACATAATCTGTCTCTGAACAAGTGTTTCCTTAAAGTGCCTCGATCCAAGGATGACCCTGGAAAGGTAGGATTTGTTTTCTTAAAATAATTGGATTCTTCATTATATCTATTGTCATGTTTGTATCTAAGATATATCTGTTAAATAAAGAAAAATAATTGGAATGAGAGCATTCTGGTTCATTGATCAGGACTATTTGTGAAAATAGCAAGTCCTCCTTCAGCCCACTCCCACCTACCCCGCCCCTATCCCACCCACCGTATCCCCATTTTAGTTGGTATGCTTCAAGGACCAGTGGCAGGGAGAACTTTCCTTTTAAACAGTGGGAAACTAGCTAGTATAGAGCTGGTCCTCTGTTATAGTTTGCTGTTTCTAATCTAGTTTTTGTTTGGTTATTTTCTTAAGTGTATGTATTAAATTTGGTTTTTGAACTGCTTGTTAGGAACAACACTTTATTAAGTATTACATACAAGAGGTGGATTTGTATGTAATTGAGAACTGGAAGTAATTTTTACCCTGAAATAAAATTGTTTTTCTGTTATTTCCTTCTTTTCTTAGTTGCTGTTTTTTCCTCTTCATTCCATTTATCTCCTGCCACCATTACATTTTTAGTATTTTATCTACAGAGACTTGTTTGTTTGTTTCAATAGCCTGGTCAACTGCAGTGTGGCCTGAACTTGGTACTAGTTGCTTGATTTCTAAGCTCAGAGTATTTGCTTGGACCATATTTGGTTGTCATGATAAATTATTAGATTAGGACTTTGAGACAGTGTATCTGTTAGCAAGCATGCATTCTTGTTTGGATGTTTGCACTTCTTGTCTTCTTTAAGCTAAGTGTCTCGGGAAAAAATTTTCTAAAATGAAAGCCTGGTCATATTATCACCCTGCTTAAAAGTACTCCCCAGTGTTCTGTAGATATTTCTTTTATAAAATATCCTTTACTATATTTTTCTTGATCTGCCTTTCTAGCTATGCTTCACTCCATTCAAGACCCACGGTAAGGAATTACTTGGTTTCCCAAACATGCTTTTCAAATGGTCTTCTTTTTATAAAAAATATTTTTATTGATTTCAGAGAGGAAAGGAGTGGGAGATATAGATAGAAACATCAATGATGAGAGAGAATCATTGATTGGCTGCCTCCTGCACGCCTCCTACTGGGGATCGAGCCCGCAACCTGAGCATGTGCCCTTGACTGGAATCGAATCCAGGACTCTCCAGTCCACAGGCTGACGCTCTATCCACTGAGCCAAACTAGCTAGGGCCATCAGATGGTCTTCTCTTAATGCGCAAAGTCCCTTTTCTCTACTTGTCTGGCCTACTCCTTGTCTTTTAAGATTGAGCTTCAACATTACTTCTCTGAGGCTAACACCCGCCCCACCCACACACACCAAATGAATTTGTTGTTCCCTCTTTTGAGTTCCTGTTACTTTGTCATCATTGTAGCAGCTCCTAACTGGTTTTTCTATCCATGGACTTACTTATTTCTGATTTATAGCAACTTTCACAAGTAGCCAGCGATCTTTAAAAAAAAAAAGTTAACCTAATCATATGTACTCTTTAAAATCTTAATTGGTTATCTACTGTCCTTAGGTTAAAGTCTAAATTATGAGGGTAGGGATCATATATATATAAAAAAGCCTAAGATGCTAATTGTCCCTGCGACTGTTTGACCGTTCGAGCAGCTGCTATGACGCGCACTGACCACCAGGGGGCAGACACTCCAACCGGTAGGTTAGCTTCCTGCTGGGGTCGGGCTGATCGGGACTGGGCGAGACGGGCTGGACATGCCCTGGAGCCCTCCCGCGGTCCCTCCCCGGCCCTGATTGTGCGCCGTTGGGGTCCCTCGTCCTGGCCTGTGCCCTCTCGCAATCTGGGACCCCTTGGGGGTGTTGGAGAGCCGGTTTTGGCCTGATCCCCACAGGCAAGGTCAAGGGACCCCACTGGTGCACAAATCTGTGCACCAGACCTCTCAGGTATGTATATAGTTTACTTGTTAGCCCCAGTTACTTGTGCAGTGGCTGGTGGCACTGAAGAGAATGAATATATTGTATCCTTTGCTAGATGGCTAATTTCTTAAGGTTAGAGATGGAGAGTTATTAATTTCTATTGAAAGCAGGCACTCTTAAAAAACTAATGTTTTATAGCACCTACTATGATTTGCCCATTAAGTTGGTTCTTAATAAGATTGGATAGGTTATTATAATAGTTTTCTTATTTGACCTAGTTTATTATTTGCCTGTGTTCATAACTCTCTAGGGTTGAGACTAGGAATTGGTAAAATTTTTCTTTCCTTTAAAGCAGGCTTATTATAAAAAAGGAATTATAAATTTTTATATTTACTTCATTGCAATTTTCTATGGACAGTGAGTATATATGAATCTGACAGAAAGGGTTCTTAAGAGTTTAGGAATTACCTATTTTATTAGAGTTCTATAAAGCAGCTAATTAGATTCTGTAAACATGTGGCTTAGATTTAATTTTTAAAAGAGGTTTAAGTCATTTTAAAAAACCCACACATGAAAACTATATTATGTACTAAATTTATTTATTTTTAAAATGTTTTTTATTGATTTTTTTTTTTTTTGAGAGGAAGGGAGGGGGAGAGAGAGAAACATCAATGTGAGCAAAACATCGATGGGCTGCCTCCTGCACACCCCCTACTGGGGATTGAGCCAGCACCTTAGGCATATGCCCTGACTGGTAGTTGAACCTGCAACGTTTTGGTGTAAGGTACAACGCCTCACCAACTGAGCCACTCCAGCCAGGGCTATTGATTGTTGACAGTATTACAGATGTCCCCCATTTCCTGTTTCTTTATCCCCTTCCACCAGCCCCCGCCCCACCCCAGGCCTTCTCCGCGCTATTGTCTGTGTCCATGGGTTATGCACATATGCATGTATGTTCTTTGGTTAACTCTTTTCGTCTCCTCCATTATGTACTAAATTTCAACCAATTGGAGATCTGTGTTTTTTTTTAAAAAAGAACCTGCTGTCAGGTTTTCTTTTGTGCAGAACTTAAAAGCTTTTCTCCACCTTAGTCAACTAATACCATGGGGTTAAGGGAGATGTAGAAAGACATATATTACTCTTTACAACTATTCTTTTTGAATCAAGATTGTCTTACTGATGTGCAACCAAAACAAAATACGGAAGTAAATTGAATCCTGAGAGGTAAATAAAAGCTTTCGATTTTTACCATTAGTCTCTAATATTAAACTTGTTTTTATCAAAACACATTATTGTTCTTATTGGTTTTGGTCATAATTATAAATATCGTAAAGTACATTTAAACTAAAAGAGTCATTTTAATTTTCACTCTCAAGGTGAGATTTAAATATCTATTGTCCTTACTGATTTTGGTCAGAAATAAATGTTGTAATCTGATCTTATAAGATACATTCATTTTAATTTTTGATATAAAAATAAAATTTTATTTTAAAAAAGTTCCATTGCTTAAAAAAAAGTTTTGAAAACCTCAGATCTAGCCCATTTTAAATAAGAGGAAACTAAAGCAAATAAATTAGGAATGACTTACCCAGGTTCAGTGTAGAAATAGAACCCAAGTGTATTGGCCAGACTTACTTGCAAGTCACAGAAGCCCATTACAGACCAACTTAAGAGAGAAAATATCTGCAGTAAGAACTGGAGCCTGGTTCTTAAATTTTCTCAGCAGGCATGTCTCTTTACATCCCTTAGCTTTTCTGGTGGCTGCATTTCAGCCCATTTAGTAGCAGAGATGACCATCAGCAGCTTCTGGCTTATATTCTGCACCTAGAGTATAGCAAATGTCTTAGAATGAATGCTGAACAAGCAGAATACATTTGGTTTCTTGATTCTCAGACTAGTGCTTTTTCCACTGTGCCAATCTTCCTTGAGAGGGAGGCCAAAATGTTAGTTAAGTTTGGGTACTTATGAATTGTTTTTTCTTTTTGTATTACAGTGTTTCCTGGCATTTGAGGAGCTTTTCCAAAACCACCCTCACCACAGTGGGAGAAAACCATTGAGCCAAGGTGGGGTGGGAGTAGTTTTGATCTTTGGGTATGGGGTGGACTTTGACCCCTTAGGATTTTGCTAGCTGCTACTATGACCCAGATGGGTCCAAGAGAGAGAGGTAGAAGTAGCTTATACAGCATCTTCTTTCTCATCTTTTTATGGTATAGCTTCCTGTTCCAAGTATTACCAGAGAGGTATGAAGGCCAGCCTAAGCTTGAAGAATATTGTTGAATTACAGATATTTTTATATGGCCATTTATTTTTGATTCAGTCCTTCATTTCCTAGAAGCTGTTGTCATAAAAGTTCTGCAATCCATTTTCCTCTGTTCCCTGAAACTAATTACAAACAGCCACATTATTGTTTTCTTTAAAAAGAAACACAAACAAAATGAAATTATATTTTGCATTGATAATTGCTGCTTTTTGGAGGACAGATTTCTATTTTCTCTTTCCTTGATTCCAACCCTGTTTCTTCATACTGCAGTCTATCCATTTCTTTATTCCTGTCTTTTGTCTCCTCTTTTCTCATTAGTTTTACTTTCTGTATTTTTGTCTTTTTTTTTTAACAGTCGTTATGCAACTCACATGTCTGTTACTTTAACCTTAAAGAAAGGTAAATATTTTGCTCATTTTACTGAAAAACAAATACTATCAGCTAAATTTAGTTTAAAAATATAGAGTTCTCTTTCTTTGCTTTCCATTGAATCTTTTCTCAATCTTGTTCTCTCTTACCTCATAAAAATGATACTGTGACTTTAAAGGAAATAAAGGGTTGTAGGAAATGGTTTCAACAATTAATTAGCAGCAATGGGCTGTAATAAAATTGATAACTAAGAAGTTTAGGACACTGAAGGCAACTGCTTGTCCTGAGAGAGATAACTATAGTGAATTCATAGTAAAAAGCTTTTTTCCCCTGTTTTTAGGGGGTGGGGTGGATAAAATTTTTTTGCCTGGGGTTGGGAAGGTTGTAAAACTTAGTGGCTGTGAAGTTTGGGGTCTCTTGGTTTGTGAGGAAACAACAAAGTCCTTGCTAGAGAATTAACTATTGGAAGTTCTGAGATAGTGATTTTTT